ATACATTATATAAATGTTCGAAGACCCTAAATACAAACTTCGACTATTACAACATTTCGACCCTAACACAGATGACATATCATCCAGATAAAAATTTAATAATATTTTTTTTCAAAAATCGATCCCGACAAAATTTGTGGAGACGACATGTCGTCGGTACAAGTAGCTTCTATCCTGACAACTTTTTCGACTTTTACCAATGACATGTCGTCGGTATGGGCCTTCCTGACGTAAAAAAAGTGTCGCTATAGGGTGTTATCACTACAAGAAATGTTGGCATTAGCGGCGACACTTTTAGCGGCGACGATTGGTATTAGCGGCGACATGTAATTGACGCGTTACATGTCGCCGCTAATACCATGCGTCGCCGCTAATGGTCTCATAATGGCGATCGGCGTGAAACGAGCCCCATCCGTCCGATTTGTGTTCGATCCTAGGGTTGCGACGGAACGAAAAAAAGGCTCTGTTTTTTCCCTCCAGGGTTACATGTAAGTATTAGCGGCGGCGTGTTTTTAGCAGCGACAGTGAAATGTTAGCGGCGGCAGGTCAATAGCGGCGACAGTGAAGTATTAGCGGCGACAAAAAGGGCATTAGCGACGAAGCATTAACGGCGACAATCCCTATCTTTTGCGGCGACATACGTCGCTGCTAATGCCCGTATTTCTTGTAGTGTATCCTTGTAGTTTTGGAGTTCGTATACTAGAGTAAGATTTTTTTTACTAGAGTTCAATTTTTTCACTAGAGTGGTTTGGAGTTCGATTTTCACTTTGGAATGGTTTGGAGTACGATTTTCAATTTGATGTCACTAGAATTTTTTGACTTATACCAAAGACTTTTTACTGACGACATGTCGTCGGTACAGGACTTCCCGACGACATGTCGTCAAGATAGGTTAAAAAATGTTATAGGGTGTTATCCTGGTAGTGTTGGAGTTCAATATTTTTAGTAGAGTAAGATTTTTTTATTAAAGTCTGATTTTTTCACTATACTGGTTTGAAGTGTAATCTTAGGGTAAGGGATCATGATTGTGAATTGTGATTGCAATAACTCGGAATTTTGGAGACAACCAGTTTCAAGTGTAAGCAACAAGGTTTGGTTTCAGAACTTTGGCATCCATATTATCAAGAAGATCAACAATGTTTTTGATACGATTGCAGTACTAAGTAGAAGCGCCAATAGTGATATTTCTGAGTTCGTTGTAGTTGAATTACCTTATTTGCTTTGTTTGAAAAATCTTTTCAAGATTCTCCGAAACATCATATGTAATTGTTTGTTTTTGGAAGATCAGATGTGTAAGAGTGATTTCAAGAGTGCCATACATCCATGACTTAACGATTGCATCTATTGAGTTTATATTCGGGAATCTTTCCTATGGGATATTCAAGATGATCACTCACATCATATGCAATACAATGGATTTCAAAAAGTTCACGCCAAATGTCGTAGTTCATACGATCCAAATTGAGTACCAAAGGGACGACATGTTTGATATTGATTGTAGAGGAAGGTTTATCGGAAATAGTAGAAGACGGTCCAGCAGAAGGCGATCCAGTAAAGGAAGAAAGATCAATGAAAGGCGACGGACAAGAAGAATCCGAGAAGACAACCAACTAACCGAGGCAACCTCTAGGTTTAGAAGAGAGGTTTAGAAGAGGAGAAACATTTGGAGGGTTTGTTAGTACCATGTAATCTTGGTATATTCCCATAAAATCATCTTTCATTGATAGAATATACTATATACATGTTTACATGATAAAGGGACAAATACAATGGAAGGAAATATAATACAAATACATGATTTATAATAATTCACTAACATGGAGTTCGATTTTCAATCCAGAATGGTTTCGAGTATGATTTTCTTCACTGAATATGATTTAGGTATGCTTAATTTTTTTACTGCTATGGAGCTAGAGAGGTAAAGAGGGTTGGTGGATGTTTAAAGATAAAAGGGGATGGGTTGAGGAATGTAGGTTTTTATGTTGTTAAGGACGAAACCAGCAACAAAAAATACCACATAGACTATCCAAGCAAAAAGGAAAATACACATTAACTTAATCCATATGAACGATACATGTAATTTACTGTGGATCAAATGTGGTTAAAATAATTATTTTCATATTGGTGGAAATAAAAATGATTATAAAAATTACACCTGATTTTAATCCTATCCAGATCGGATTTCTTACAGAGTTATAAACCGCTTTTGGATGAAAACTTTTCTTGGGAAACATATGATATTCTGAATATATACTTGTAAGTTATATATATCAACAACTATATAAAGAAGTAGCGGATAAAAACCACATTTTCGTACTAAACTAGAATTATAGGATGTGGATCACTATAATATATGAGAAAGTTTGGATCTTTGCATCCCCTCCTTTGCTGTGCATGTATAGTGGCCGGCGTTATTTAATTTTTTGCAACCCCACATGTGCTTAGCTCCCACTCCAATCAGTATAAAAGACGTGATCCCACCCTTCACTTAAACCACTACCCACAAATCTTTGTAGCGATGGAGGCCGTGTATTCTAATAACAAAACGCCCATCTTGTTTCTAATCATTTTAGCCACCTCGGCACTAGGCCAAGGTACAAGAGTTGGGTTCTACCGGACCACATGCCCAAAGGCAGAAATCATCGTGCAGTCTGTGGTCCAGTCTTTCGTCAACTCCAACCCCACAATTGCACCTGGTTTATTAAGAATGTTCTTCCATGATTGCTTTGTCCGTGGTTGTGATGCATCTATCCTGTTAGACGGTTCTTATGCTGAAAAAACTGCACCTCCTAATTCCCGATTGAGAGGCTTTGAAGTCATCGATGCAGCAAAGTCCCAACTCGAAACCATCTGTCCTGGGGTGGTCTCCTGTGCTGACATTCTTGCCCTTGCTGCTCGTGATTCTGTGGTGCAAGTAACTAATTCCTACCTTTGATGCTTATTTTATTTCAAGCACTGTGGAGGTGACAAAACATCTATTTTAGATAAGTTGATGAATTCTTACACATCCATCCATCAGCTCTCTTTAGTAGAAAACCTACACGTACAACGTTTGTTAAACTGTGAATGAACCTTTAAGGATGCAGCCATGGAACAATCAGCTGTATCTACCTGGCTTAAAACATGTAATTATTCCATTTTTTTTTAATATTTTACAGAATGGGGGCTTCTGGTGGGAAGTGCGTACAGGTCGCAGAGATGGATTAGTTTCACTGAAATCTGATGCTACAAATTTGCCCGGTAGAAAGGACTCCATTGAAGTTCAAATTAGAAAGTTCGCTGAAAACGGACTTAACATTCAAGATCTAGTAACCCTTACTGGTAAGTTTAGTACAAAGAATACTACAACAGTATATGGTCATAGCATAAAAAATGGAACTGACCTACTAATTAAAATATCCATGGATGTGTTTATGGGTTTCCATGATCACCCAGGAGGGCATACGATTGGAACAGCAGCCTGTGCATTATTCTGTTCCAGGTTATACAAATTCAATAACACCAATGGACCCGATCCAGCTATCAACCAAACGTTCCTTCCCCATCTTAGAAGTCTGTGTCCACAGGGTGGCGATGGTGCAAAGCGCGTCGACCTAGATACAGGCAGTGTATACAAATTCGACATTTCATACTATGAAAACCTAAAGAACGGGCGGGGAATACTTCAATCAGATTCACAGCTATGGAGTGACCCACGAGCGCAAAGGTTTGTGGAATGGTTTCTTGGAGGGGGTAGACAGCAACAATCAAAATTCAGTGTCGAGTTCGGGAAATCAATGGTGAGGTTGGGTGATGTTGGGGTGAAGACTGGGGATAACGGAGAGATTCGTAGGGTTTGTTACGCAATTAATTGATCATTGATGGACGCGCCGATTAAATCAACATGTGTTGTATAGACATGTCATATGTTCATTTTAGTATTTCATTGAATTACGAGAACTTCTTTCGTAGGGTTGGATTTCATTGCACGTGAACACGCTATATATAGCATGGATATACGATAATAACCTTTTGTGCTTTTATGAATAAGAGTTGGACCTCCTCCATCAAGATACTCGATGGGGCTAGCTATTTGACTATTGGTAATTAAGCAATTGTAATAGATGGAAAAAGTAATACTGGAATTCTGTTTCAGCTATCCACGAGATTAATGACCATATTATGGGGTCATATATACTCATCTGACCCTCATTTCATCCCTTATACAAAGAAACCACTATCTTGGCTATTACAGGCTCGGAAATTGCCAGATTGCTTTTCATATATTAAGCTTATTAATGAGGAAGAACAAGATTGTAAAAGTACGCCAACAATGTTCTCATATAATTAAAAAGTATATATGTTTACATTATCTCACTAGTACAGAAAACATTTGTTCATGCGGTTAAAATGTTTAACTGGTGCGGCGCACCAAAAAATATCGCATCAAAAAATACCTTTATTTAATGGAGCGGTTATAAAACCGCACCAAAAAATAGTCAAAACCGCATCAACAAATAATCTAAGAACTATACAAACCGCATTAGAAAACGATGAAAACCGCACGAATAAACAATTCTTACAAATCGCACCAAATAAGAAAACCGCTCCAAAAAAAAGAAACATCGCACCAAATACTCCCCACTTATTACTCTTCCATATATTCCAGAAACTACCAATTCCACTTCTCTTAGGTTTGGAAATTTAACAACGATTTGTGATTAGTCAAAACCTCTGTTGCTTCAAATAAATAACACGACCTTATATAATTCATTTCCAGATATTGCAATTGTAGGAATGTTAATCTTTTTAATATCATCGTTTTGTTCTACATTTAATTTGATCAAATTATGAAGAGACCAAGGTGTGCCTCTGAAATAGCAGGTCACGAGCTTATACTGTCTAAACTTGAGAACGGGGGCTGCAATAAGCCAAAAAAGAAAAAAGAAAAAGAATGCAAGGCACATGTTAGATAGAGGTAACCACCCTTAAACCACCACCTGGCTGAGAACAAACACCTACCGGAAACCGCCTTTGAACCACCATCATCACCGCCGCCTGTTTGCTGCCGTGAACGCAACAATCACAAAGCCACACCACTTTTTCCGAGAGCAACTCTACATCGACCATCTTCACAGCCGAGCTAACAAAACAATAAACCACCACCGGTGGACACCATTGCCATCTGCCCTGCTTTAGCTGTATATACCACCATTACAGCTACAAAGAACACCCTACAGCCCCAGTTGACCCCATCACCATCTTCACGAGTTTGCTTCACCTCCGGTTAACCATCTTGCCACCTCAAACCACCCTTATACCACCTTCCATCTCCACCACTAACCACCGAGAACACCGGCCACAGAGCCATGCCTTTACCGAGAACCGTCCCATCTCCTACATATTTCCGATCCACCACCCTTATTCCACCTAGCTTAAACAACCCGACGCCACCAAACTTGTATCAAAACAACACAAGAATGAAGAAAAAAGAAATTGGTTCTCCGGTTTGTGTTATCTTCAAATGGGAAAGGGAGAAAATACACAAACAATATAGGGCATAAATATTTTATTGATGTGGTTCCCATTAATTGATGCGATTAACCAAAAGATGGGAGGGAAACCAAAAATTAGAATGAAATTTTTAGTGAGAAGAATAAATAAATGCTGCTGTTTCCAAAGTTTTATTGATGCGGTTTCCATTTTTTATAAATGAGTTTAATAGTGCGGTTTTGAACTAACGCATCAAATAATGCGTTTTTAATGTGGATATAAGAAAAACGCACCAACAAATGCATTAAATGGTGTGGTTCCTAAGTTTATTAATGCGAAAGTGTTTTAATGGTGCGGTTTTAGATTTCCACCGCACCAAAAAAAAACTCGATCGCACTATTAGATACGTTTTGTACTAGTGTCTCCGGTACACAAGTACTCGCTTGAACCGGAACAGAAGAGTAAAAGAACGTAGAAGAGGCAGTACCTACGTAGCAATGGGTCACAAAGCCTTTCTCAGGGCAGAACACAGGTATTCAGATGAGACACTGTTGACGACCGTTGATATATATATATATATATATATATATATATATATATATATATATATAGGGTTAGGTTCATGTGAGACGGCCTAATTTTGTGAGACCGTGAGACACAATCCTAACCACTCATTTAGTAAATAAAACAAAAACATTTTTAAAATGCAAAATAATTGAAAATTTTCGAAATTTTTTTTTCCAATATTATTTTCGAAATATATATTTTCCAAAAAAAATACCAAAAAAAAAATACATTTTTTACATATTCTAGTAGAATAGAATATTCTACATATCTGTCAAATCTAATAGAATATTCTAACATTCTAAAAATCACATTAGAATATGTACAGTGTAATATTCTATTAGAATATTTCGCGTATTTAAAAAAAACGGTAATTTTTTTTTTATTTTTTTTTTAATTTATTTTAATTTTTTTTAGGTAAATAAAGTTCCGAAAATAATAATTAAAAAACGAATTTTTGGATTTTTTTTCTTTTATTTTGCATTTTAAAATTATTTTTAGATTTGGTTTCACGGTTTCACAAAATTAGCATTGTCTCAAATGAAGCTAAACCTATAT